CGGACTTGTTGCACAGAAAATATATTTGACGACATAATCAAAGAAAAAAGTTACAAATAATATAAAAGAGTCTTTAAATATATGGTCATTAAAATTTCATATCAAAATATTGTAAATTGGTATCAATTTCAGGTGATTTAACAGGACATATCATGAAGTCACGGCGCAGTAAAACATTCAACGTCACGGGCATTTTAAAACATGGGAGCTTTCATTTTCTCAATATTATACCGTAGTATTTGATACTGTATAGATTGGGTTACCTTATCCACTCAGAATAAACATCCATATACCATTTCTGATCCAGCTTAAAAACTATAACACTAGTATTGTGTGTTCTAGTTTGTGTTAAACCCCAAAACTGCACATATTTCTAAAGTAAAGTTTGACGTCAGTCGATCTCAATCACGTTCTTAACAGCCCAGATCGGTGTTTTGTCGATGAACTTCTTCTATTCCTCACGGATTTCCTTTTGACTAAGGTCTAACAGTCAAATTTTTTTTATACTTTGTCGGAAATTCTGCTGGTTTACTACATGTTTCATCAGACTTATTTTAGATCTCTGTTGGCGTTTTCCAAGCATGATTCATGATTTGATAAAAGTGAGCTGCTCCCACTTTTGCACTTGATTTCGTAGGGGTCACATCGGAGAAAAATTACAATATTTCTGTTAGTAATTCAAATATTACGTCAGAAATTTAAATACTTAATAATACAACAATAAAAAGAAACTTTAGAGAAAATTGTTAAATAATAACGTGAAATATTGAAAATAAATGAATAAAATTTTTGATACCGCATGTTTGTTTTTCAACATTATTGCTGTTCTCCGTACATCATCATCAGCAGTATCAAAACAGCAATAATTTTATGAGATATTAAATAAAATCCAAAAAAAATACCAAGAATTTATTGGAATCTTTAAGAAATATATTCCTGTGAAATTTCAATTCTATATGACGTCTGTAAGTGTAAATAATAGCAGAGTCCGCGTAATTTTTGAACGCCCCTCGTATAGCCCAACCTAGGATCATGAACCATGAATTAAAGAAACTCAGCTCTTCACTTTCCAATGTAGCTTTTTAATATACGCATAAACATGAGTCGATTCGCTTACAAGTCGGTTGTATTTCTGATAATTGGCATTTTGTGGTAAATCGATCAGTCGGTACAGCGCTCGCTCCATGATAGGAAGGTCAATGGTTCAAACCCCGGCCGCGACTGACCTAGGTCGAAAAAAGAATAGTTAGGAACTGTTACTTCGCCTAGTGCTTGGCACTCTGAAGTGAAAGTTCCGGGTCTTTCGGATGAGACCTTAAAACAGTCCCCCTGTCACGACAGACCTTGGCAAAATAAAGACCTCCCACTGGTTAATGGCTCTAAGTGCCGAGTTAAAGTTTAAATTTGAAGCCCTTCACCGATATATGGTATTGTCTTTGCATGAATGAGAAATTCTCGAACGGGACTTAAAACAACAATCAGTCATTCGATATTCATTATTTTTGTAATATAATTCACGTGTGTTTCATGGTTTGAATAAATTTCAAAAAGTGCTGAAGGATTTGTTCACCTGTGAGATAATATTTGGAAAAAGAAAATAATTTGATAAAAGTTTTTTCGATAAAAATTAATTTGTGCATGGATATTATAAGAAGGAATTCGACAATGATGCTGAAAAATGTTTGAGTTTTTCATGACAATTTTCATGCGTAAATTGAAAGATAAAAAAAGTAAATTTACAATCTGAGTAATACAATGTTTTTCTTTTAAAAGAATTGTAGTTCATCATAAAGAGCTAGGTTCACTTTATGCATAAAATGGCCCTGTAGATAAACCAATTTATCCACTAACACACTATGGCCCTTTCTTAGCATCAATATAAAGTAGAGACTTGGCGCTTTCAGTTTGTATATAAAAGTTTCCTCTAAAGAGTCAAGGTACTGGAAAACAGGTTGTGTGAAATTGCAATGTTCTTGAATTTTGCAGAAAACAGGTGAATTTGAGAACCTTCAACAAAGAATTAAAATATGAGCACACCCCTCGATCCAAAAATTAAAATATGTTTTATAATCTTAATAAGCAGTTCTTTCAAAATATATTTGCACATTTTGGATCGGAGGTTGTGCTGTATACGAAATATTGAAAAATAGCGTCATATTTTGGCCATTTTTGAAGAATTATTCGGAAAATGTGAATAATGACGCAATTCATGACGTCATAATGCTTTGACTAGCAATGAAATTACGTCATTTTTAGTAGAAATTCAGTCACCAAGTGTTCAAGTGATATTTATTGCCTTGTCGACTAAAACTATGCAGTTTTTCAGAAATTTACTGGGCCAAAAAAGGCCCTAAGTGGCCCTTGCTCTTTACGCAGGTTTTTTGTTGGTTTATCTTATCAAATGTATCCTCTTCAAACAATTTCAATGTGGTTGAAATTATTCTTATGGTTATGCTTACAGTTATATATGCCCGCTCTATCAATTATGCCATTCATGCGATTTTGGTTAGCCTTCTCCTCTTCCTAGTCTTTTAAGATGTTCACATGATATGAATAATTGTAGAACTTCTGTGTTACTGAGGGTGTTCATTTACAAGAAAAAGATGCAACAAAGATAAATTTGGAGTACGACTTTATTTAATCACTGTTAAAAATGCAATGCTAAGAAACTGTTCTGAATTGATACATTTCGTTGTTACAAATAATCTTTTAGTATTCTTTAGACGATAAAATACTATATAATTTCTTTTAACAATGGAATTTCAGAAAAAATAATCAAAACTACAGGGCTGATACACTCGACCGCAGAATGCCCAAAATGTTGCTCTCAGGAAAATGGAAACTATATGACAATTTTGTTTAGCGGCTTACAATTTTTGCTTTTAACATTTAATGGATAGTTAAGTACCTCAACTATAAATAAGCACAACAATAAAAACAAAATGTGCTTTTGTTCAGCAATATTCATTACTCTTCTGATTCAGATTTATAGACAATTTATCAAACAAAACAAAATAAAATAATACATAAATCTTAAGAAGTCTAAATACAGATAAAAGCACACGGATATTTTGTATACATGTACCTGTTTTTTTTTTCAGTTAGAGAAATTAGAAGTTTATTGATAAGAAGAATTGGTGTTTAGGGGGATGACTACATTAACGTCAGTGATCTACCATAATTGAGGGTCAAATATTCAACTATTCATGCAGATAATCTAATGCAAAATCAGACTTTACGGGATAAATGAAATAAAAACTTGATTATTAAGAAAACAGCAAAACTGAATCTTATATGCTTATTCTGAAACGGAATAGTATAGTTGTAATAGATTGGTGATCATACACAAATGGAAAATGAAATAAACTTGATATCAAGGTCAGACGACAAGTTCCTCAAAAATATATAACTTTTCCCAATATTTTGTGATTTAAATATTGCTACTTTAAGAAGTTCCCTCAGAAAAAAATCGGGGTACATTACCAGGCATTTGTGCAAGATTCCGGAGGATGGTATTTCCTATAAAATCCTATACTAGAAATCATTTGAACTGCTGCTATCACTATTTTTGGTCTATATATTTTTCAGAAATTTTGAAAATAGTATAGAAATCAAAATATAATGATAATTATAAATATTTTTGGTATTTTACAAAGGAATGCAAAAACAGATGTTCGAGGAACGTGTCGCCTGACCTTAAAGAGAATAATTGATTCAGATAGGAAGAAAATGTTATCGACTGTAGGATTCAAACACAGGCCCTTAAATTTTTAGTACAGTTCGTCAACCATAGTTAAAAAAATACCTTATTAAAGATTTATATTCGGAGAAGTTCACCATTTAACGACAGATGATACAAACTTTTATCAGACAGTTTTGAAAATAAACACTTTAGTCAAGATTACAAGAATTAAATGAATAACAGTAAGTTTAACTGCATAGACTTTATTTTTTATATTCAAAGTTTCACAATAATGTGATTTTAAGCGACAAAAAATTGCATAGATTAATAAGGAGGGTTGCAAAAGGTAGAATTTTAACATTATGAAAAGGTTACAAATTCCTAATATTTTAGAAATTTATTACTTGCATCATTTACAATCAAAATAGGTCCAAAAATATATATCAATCCAGGCATTTATTTTTGTTTGTCTCGTCTATTATTAAAGCAAGATAATAAACAGTGTTGGCTCACTGGTAATTCTTTTACTTGTATACAAGACTTTACCTCTGTAATTTTGTAAATTGTATGGTCCTTATAGTGACTTGTTAGCAAATATAACCTATCATTAGGTCGTATTTGGCTGACTTGTTTCATACCAATTGCTAGGCCTTTGTTTTTATACTAAATTCAATACTAAATTTGATACGGAATGTTCCGTCTATTTGAACAATACATAGGGCTCAAGGTCAACCGGGGATGCTTATTCCTCCCAATACTATAACATTACTGCTTTTATAACAGTGTATAAGATAATTTAGCCTTATTCGGAAAACAATTTCATCGAACCTGAAGGGCAGGGTTATTATTGTACCTCGGGGTGGCGAAATTATCGTACTGACTGAGAAACAGTAATAATTGTTTTGTAACAATTGTAATAGTGTTGGATTTGTACAAAAATAAAGTAACAGAACTTGCCAGAATATATATTTTAACTTTTATTTAAATTTGTTATTCAAAACCTAGATCCACCCCTTAGTTCTCCCTTACCTGTAAATACTTATATATTACCTAGGGCATTGGTCAGGTGTTTTGGAAGTGGTTATTGTTATTTTGGTTTTTATTGGTTATCGATTTGAAAGGTCTGATTCTATTGGTTTTATTGACTGGTTTGGAGTTTTCCCACTTTATTATGAGCATTCTTTGTTCAGTGGTTGATTTGACCAGACTATATATATATTCATAAAAGACATTTTTGACTTTGGACAGATTTCCATTTCAACAGCATCGACACAGGTTGCATTGTTATGACATAGATTAGATGTGCATTCATCAATATCTACAGCACATTCAATACCAGTAAAGCCACTTGCAAATTAACTTGCAGACAATTACCATGCTGTCCACAAGGGTTAGTGGTAAAACAAACGTTTTCTTCTTCACACCGGTGTCCCGTCCATTCACTAGGACATAAGCATGTAAACTCAATAGCATGATTATGGCATGTTCCATTATTCATGCATGGGTTAGAAAAACAGAAGTCTGTAATTTCACAATGACTACCATAAAATCCTTCTTTACATGAGCAAGTGTAATTGAACAAATTATTATTGCAAACTGCACCATTCTGACACGAAGCATTTGCACAGTGATCAATTTCATCACATAAGAGACCTTTCCATCCAGTGTAACAAGAGCAGTTAAACCCTATATCGGTGTCCTTACAAGTACCATGATTCAGGCAGGGATTTTTTAGGCAGTGGTCAATCCTATCACAGTTGTTTCCTGTTATTCCAAATGGACATTCGCAAGAATATCCCATTAAATTTTCCCTACAAACACGAGGAGCAATACATGATGACATATTGCAAACCCGTGTCAATTCACAAACCTTTCCAGTAAACCCAGGGTCACATACACATACAAAGTCATTATGTCCAGTAAAACATTGCCCACGATTAGAACAAGTTATATTATAGCAAAAATCATAAGACTGGCACTCTAATCCAAACCATCCAGCATCGCATTTACAGAAAAAGTCACGATAATTAGATTCTATTATCCTGTGACATATACCATTTCCGCTACATGTTTGTTGAAAACAGTAGTCACGCATTTTACAGAGTGGTCCCATATAGCCCATACGACAATGACACGTGTAGTTACCTCCATTTATAACACATGTAGCACCATTCTGACACTGATTGTTAGCACATGAATTTTTTATGGAACAGTCGGGACCGGTATATCCATTGTTACACGTACATACGGCCTTTCTATGCTTAATATGACATTGTCCTTGATAATTACAAGTATCACTGTGACATTGGTGAAAAGTCAACGATTCACAGTTTTCACCAGTTGTTCCGTTTCTACACTGACATGTATAACTCCCGATCTTGTTGAAACACTCTCCTCCATTACAAGGCTGTAAAAGACATTCATCCTCATCAAGCTGACACTTCAGACCATACACGGAGGACGGACATGTACAATGAAAACTACCAGCTTTATTTGTACAAATACCATGTCCACAAAACTGTCGAGTAGCACATTCATTGATGTCCTGATCGCAGTTACTTCCATGCCAACCTACAACATATACCGACATCCGATTTGTAGCATTTTTCAACTAGCTCTTGTTTATTTACCTGCCATAAACTGAACTTAATTCGTCTATTTCATGTATTGAACACATACTAGGTAATGATCTATCTTATTTAACATCGTTCAGTGCAGCAATTTGTATATCCAAATTATGCATTTAAAATCTATGATATCTTTTTGACACTTGGGCGAGTTGATTTCTTGATGATTACACCTGATTATAAATTTCGCCAAGTGAAAGATCAGGGCCTAATTTAAACAATAAAACGCTTTCTTTGGTTGTTAGTAAGGGAATTAATTTCGCAGATTTTGCAGAAAAAATGCATAACTAGCGTAAGCGGGTTATGTATTTTTTTCTGCAATAGCTGTGATGTTACTTCCTGTACTAACATTTTATTGTAATTCTCGTGCGTCTGTCTTTGTGTCTGAAGTCAGTGGGCGGGGACTATTGAAATTAAAATGGGAGGCCTCGTGCACATGTATTTTAAATCTATTGGACAGCATTTTAAAATTTATATTCACAATTTTATTTCACATTAATGTAAATATAAGGAATCACTGTCTAGTTTTTTGGGTATGACAGGGACACCAACGACAGTAACATGTAGAAACGTTGGATAATTTATGCATAACGGGCCGGACTTCGCTCGTTATGCATATTATACCACGTTTCCAACTATCGTCGATGCCTTTGCAACCCAACAAACTAGTCAGTGACTCATTCCTTAAAAGCAATATGAGCTGCATTTTTGAGAATTTTATTTTGCTGTTAAAATGTGATTTTATGATAAATCTGTATGTAACTTAAATCTTTATGATCAATTAATCTAACATAAAGTATTAAATTGTTTCAGAAGAAGAATTTCTATACATTGGAATGTATAGTATTATATAAGAAATCAATATTGTACAGGACGGCAATAATGCAATTTTGCTTCAATCAAAGCTTAAAATTAGTTCTTCCTTCACAAATTAATATAAAAAATAGAAGTATAGAGAGTTTCTTTTTTCTGTCATTGAAATAGTTAATTAAAAAACTGCAACAAAAATTTCCGACATCAAAAATGCAGCTCATATTGCTTTAATAAAGAAAAATAGCCTTTATTAAGTTGCTTGTTTTCGGGTCATTTGTGGACTTTTCCAAGTTTATCAACTTTCAGAACAAAGAATGCAAGGAGAAAAATGCTTTCTTTCATTAGCCTTTCGTTTAAAAAGGTAGAACTTGAGTAAAATCATTTGAGGAATGTTTTTAAGTTTTGTGCTAGCGCTTCATGAAAAATATGCCTACGTGCAAGTCTGTGTGATTTACACACCAATAATTCACACTAAACTTAAAAACATTCCTTATATTTACATTTTACAAGTTTAAAAGCACCAATAATGTACTCAATAATTGAATTTCTTGCCCTATATCGTTATATTTTTTACATATTTTTACTAACGTCTCTGTAGCCTCATTGTGACGTCACTTTAGAGCGAGTTTCACCTTGTATGTTTCTACGCGTGAATGCATGGGATTCAGTACTTTCTACACTTTCATGATAACAGCTTACCCATTTTACAGTACGTATGACCGTTGACGACACACTTCTGTGGATTACCAGGACAATGAGGTGTACAATCTGAACCATAGAAACCCTCAGAACAATAGGCCTTGTAGGTTAACTGGATACTGAAATAAGAGTAATTTGTTGATAAACTTCTTTGAAATTTTTTTTAAAGGAAAAAAAGTTTTTTAAGTTAATGTACGCTTGTGATGATTGTTCATTTAGTTGGTTTGAATAAAGAACAACTTGCAAAAAAGAATTTTTATCAGAGAAATAATTTGCTGTCAATTTCTTTTGTCGCCAGTGTTGTGAAAGTACGTTGTTTCCTATTTGGATATTATAGTCCGAGAACTCTGTCTGGTAGATGAGTGGTGAGGAGGAGTTTTGTAAATCTACCACTCTCACTGAGATCTTGTCCAGATATTTCCTCTGAGTATATAGATAACAAAGAGTTATTGAATGCACCTGATTGTCCTGGATAAAAAAAAAATGATTTTGTTATTCCGATGTGTATATTTGTGTTAAATTTACCCATGAATCAATTTCCAGAAACTGTGGGTTGGTTGTATTCCCGACTTTAGAACCATAAATAATATCTTGTCGCCTCATGTCTAATGTTGTGGTAAACCTTGCCCTACAGGAATGGGGAGTGTCTCTGTAGCAAAGAAATGATAGAATCCTTTAGCTGCAGAATCAATGTTATTAAGGTCTTCCGTTTCCAACGGAAGACCTTCTACTGATTGTGACGATTAAGATTATTAAGGTCTTCCGCTCCAGGCGGAAGACCTTCTACTGATTCTGATGGTTAAGATTATTCTTATTATTCTTTTTTTTTTCCTAGACGCCAACTTTGAGACCTCATATCTCGCTCATTTTTCAACGGATTTTGCTCAAATTTGCAGGGTTTATAGACGTTACAAAACTCTATCAGAATGTTGTCTAACATTTCAAAAACCCACTTCCGCTTTTGGGTTATTTCCCTTTAAATGAAAATTTAGGGGGCTTCATTTCCAGACAAAGGCTCAGAGACTACAAGAGCTGAAGTAGAAATTTTACCGAATTTAAATAATAGAAGAATTGAAGTTGTGCACATCAGTTTTTGTTTTTCAATTTCTGTATTCAAAATGGCGCTAGAGAGGGGTCAAAAATTAGAACGCCTAAAAGACCGAAAATTTACACATATTTTCTTTTTTATCTTCTAAACTAAAAATATTTTGATAAAACATGTAGAATAAAAGTTGTGCACAATTTTAAGGCCTTTCATTTGACACCACTAAAAAGGGTCTGGCCCCTAAAATTAGGGATCTGGGGCCCTTTAAAGTTTTTGCTTTATAACTCAAAAACGGTAAATATTTCGAAATAGCTGCCGCAAATAAAGTTGTTCTTTAACATCTTATTAATCTCATGAAAAGGTAATTTTGTTTGAGTCTTGTGTTCTAAATGAGCTAGAAGCATAACACATATACAGGTAAGTGTTTTCATTCAGCAAGTAAACAAGAGCTCTTTATGCGTGTAATTAAGATAAACTTACTATAAATAATAAACCTTGCTACATTAGATGCTAATATTCTTTAGAATCAAGTTCTTGAAGTATTTTGTGCTTTATTTCCAGATTATTTACTGACAACTTTCCCTTTTATTTCGTTTGTTTTCAAATTTGGATAAACCAGTCTACTAAACAGGGAAAAAAAGAGATAACCTTTTCTTCTTATCATATAAAAACAAACAATAAAGTTAGAAAATAAAACAAAACTTTAAACATAGACTATTCACAGCCAGTAAGTACACGCCTTTTACATTCACCTTGTGCGTTTACAATTATGTAACCCCTCCCTCGATAGCGCGTGGCAAAGGAGGTCACCGAGGATCAATCGGCGTGTGAACCAGCGACCTAAGGTCATACACAAAACAAACTATAGAATGGCCATTCCAAATACATTTTAACTAAGTGATGAGTGGATAAATATGTTGAATCTTTCAGATTATTTCATATCTTTGATTAAGTCGCTAGTACATTTCAATTTATATTTTATTCGCTGAATTACAAGAAAGTTGCATATTTATTCTTATAAACATTGCATTGTTGAGATAATTGCGCTTTGTGGAAAATTACTTTAAAATAATTTCGAATCTTTCATATGATTTCGTCTTACTGTTTAATTACCACTCGCTCGTTTTAATCCGCTAGTCTTAACTGCCTTTCACTTATTCACTTCAAATTCAATGCATTTTGAATACCGAAAAGACCACTTTCTTTGCGTATTAAAGAAACAGTTTATTTATCTCTCTTTGTTATTATTTAACGAGTTGCTATTTCTTTCATGAACATTAAACAGGATATATATAATTATCACGATAATTTTATGTTGAGGTCACATTTTTAATTGTCAGGAAAATCGAAAATAAAATTAAGTACTTTTGAGTTTGTATTATTTTCTTCCTAACTTACAATATTATTGCATACAAAATACTAGGTCGGACGCAAGTAACCTAAATCTTTCACTTGTATTTGAAAATTCTATCGAGCGTCGAATGAATTTTACCCGTTCAAAAGTGTATCAAAAAAACCCTTCCTATGCAGTTTTCTTTGGGAATCAATTGGCTTAGATAGTCTACTCCGACATGTGTTGACAAAGCTCACGCAATGAGAAGCCATACATTTCAAACTTGTGACCTCTTGGTCAGTGCATGTGAAGATTACGCATGGCAATTAGTGTCTGGAAAACGGAGTATGTTTTATAAGTGATTTGACAGGTTAAGATTTGTTCTCATTCCAAATTAAATACAAACACAAACCCTTTATTATTTTCTTTGTTATTTTATACCGTCAGTTATATCAGATATTGTGTTTTAAAAACGTGTTGTTTAGGAAGATTAATCTTATGCATTTGTTTTATTTCATCTAATAAACTGAATTTACCCATGACACGAATTACTTGTACATGCATGTAAGTGCGCGTAAATGCGGTTTAATTTGTTTATGTGGAAGAGCGCCCAGAATAAATACACTTCGAACTCTGGAATTTCCCTATTTTACTGTTTAAATCATAGGTCCGCTCAGCTGACGAGTTGTTTTAATAACGGTAATAAATTATATTCAAGTCCTGGCCAGCGATCGTTACGGTTGGTGACATTGCAATTAAACAGGTCGGTACTAAGATACTAACGGGTATATATATTTTCACCTAATATGTTTTCATTAAGTGTTTTCATAAGAAGTAAATTGCTGGAGGATATCATGTTCTCCCTGATCACATCGATAGCGTGTAGAAACAGCGGTATATGAACACACGCTTTTGTACAAAGCAAACGTGTAAACCAAAAGGATGAGAAAAAACGACGAAATAAAAACATTTCTCTATTTACTGAAATTATTGTCTTTAGACAGATAAAAATAAATGATTATCCGCCTGAGAACATGTGAAAATTATACCCAAATACAATGTAACGAAGGATTTTGGGTTTAATCCCGAGTACGCAATTATAGCAATGATGTGTACATGGACATGCAGAATAGCTCTTTTTTTTATCCTTCGTCCATGTGTTCCTCCTTAACGGAAAAAATTATCAGTAAATTATATTATACCGAACGAGGTTGAAAAATGCCGAACTTTATTTCTTAAAATTAACAGCAATTATCCAACTTTTCTCATATCACTGTAAAAATGCCCTAAAAACTAAAACCGTCTGGTTTGACTTTGTCAACGCGTTTTAGATCGGCTTTGAGATTTTTATTAAATGTCGCTTTAATATTCTACAAGTCCTTATAATGAAAGAAAACACTGGCAGATTTAGAGGAGGTTCAGGGGGCCTGCCCCTACTGACGGATTTAAGTGGGGCGTGGGGGCGCACCCCCCCTTAAAATTTTCAAAATATGACATGACTAATATTAATAATGCCATACTTTGGTTTTATAATTAATGGTCAATTAAAAAATGGTAATTTTATTTTATGACCAAGTATCGGTTTTCTTAAAAATCAAGTCTGAAAACCTTGCATTCCCTAGGCTATGAATATTATCTCATAATTATTCAAACCGGAAAACGTCTCCCGATTTCGTTTGAAGGGTAAACGGCACTTGTCAATTTCCTATCATGATGCAAGGAAAAATACTGCAATATTTAATTAAAGGCTGGTCGAAGGTAGATAACATTCGGCAAACCTCGGCTGATTCCGTCACCTTCATCAAGATGAGGTACGAATCGGCCGAGGTGTGCCGAGTGAGGTAAATAAATGAATTTAAAATCAGACGGTCTACGTTACAAACCTATCCACTGATTGATGTATTTATTTATCAAATGGTGTAACTATGCAGTAATTTACTTACATAGATACAAGACTTTTTTTTAACGTCAGGATATAGGTTAGGATGGTCACAGTGTAACTTCGCCCACCTGGTTAATTTCGACCGTTCATAAATACCTTAAAATAATTTGTTTATAACCCATTATAGTGTACACACATCTATTTTATGCAGAAAGAAAATGCATTTTTCATATACAAATCAATGTCGATAATAATAGGCGAAATTTATTTCTTCACTGGAAAATTACATCCAAGAAGAAACTTTATCGCCCGAAAAATTACGGACGAGTATTTTTAAACCATTGCGGGGAATTATCAGTTTATCACCTCTGAAAATTTCTTGTATATAAAAGACACAGTGGATATTACTGGCGTGAAATTTATCAACTATGTTTAAATTTGCACTTAAATTCATACCTTTTAAATTTATAGTATTTAGTTTTTACAAATAAAATGCAAATCAGCTGAACAGAAATCGGCCGAAGTTACCCTTTGCATGAATACGGCGTCAGCAGGTAACTCAGTTTGACCAATGAAAATGACGCAATGCTATTTGTTACCAGAAAAAAATCATGACCACCGTCCGTATAAAAAAGTATTAGGATAAGTATTATTTACAAGAATACTCCGTAGAAACTAGTTCTATAACCGTGAAAAAATCATCTGTTTTGTTTACATGCCTGCGCATATACATGTATATACATTTACATTTGTAGCATGCCTTGACAAATCGGTAAATCAGTCTCTAGGCAGCTAGTGCACTTAATGTCTTCAAATTGCATTTTGAAAATTGCTTTTTTTTCTTTTTGTCAGCATTTTTTCACAAACTTTTATGTTTTACAACAGAATAATTTAAATTAATATATATATATTTTTAAATTAGAGACGACGCGAATAATTTCATTTATATTTGCACATCGATCGAAAATACCCCGTGTGCGGTCGAAGTTACCCAACACACATATCTTGTAAATCGAACACATTTATTTTATATCATGACGAATAATACATATAATACAATTTAATCTGAACAGTAAAAGGTATTCCGAAGGAAAAAGGATCCAGTAAAAGTTGAGCGTAATACATGTAATAGGCAGTGACATACTTGAACAAATCTAAATATAAAAAAATAATCGGTCGAAATCACACCACCCTACCCTACAGTGTATCTGTCATATATGTATAATACTTACAAAAACAAACGTTTCAGTATTCAATTTTTCAATATTCAGATATTCTTTGTGTATCATTGTGCTTCGTTTATTTCATACTGCTATAAAAGGGAACTGCACGTTTATTTTGTTTCGTTGGCTGCGGTGGAGATACATGTGTAGGTCAGTGAATGGAATT